TCCACATCCTTACCAACACCTGAGATTTTCTATTTTTTATGAATTATCTTGGTGAATATGAAGATATCTTACTGAGGTTTTGATTTTTATTTCCCTAATGATCATTGATGTTGAGTATCTTTTGTTTATTGGCCATTTGTATTTCTTCTTTGGAGAAATGTTTATTCAAGTTCCTTGTCCATTTTTTTAATCATTGCTTTTGTTGTTATGTTTTGTTTTGTTTTGTTGATATTGGTTGAGTTTAAGTTATTTAAATATTCTGGACAGTAACTCTTTATAAGATGTATGATTCACCAGGGACAGCAGGTGTTGTGGTGGCTAAGGCGCTGGACATGCCACGTGGCTGACCACGGCTCAAGTCCTGGACGTGGTGGCTTGCTTTCTCACTTTCCCTCTCACTCATCAAATTAAAATAAATGACTAAATAAAGTAAGAAAGAAATATGATTCATCAATATTTTCTCCCACTCCTTGAGTTACCTTTCACTCTGTTGTGTCTGATACACGGAAGCTTTTTATTTTGACTAGTCCAATTTACTTCTTTTTTCTTTTGTTGCCTAATGTTTTAAGCCTTCTAGTGTCAAAATGTATCATTTTTTAAAAAGTTACAGTATTGATTTGCCTTCATTACTAATTAGTCCTCCCTTTTAATGTCTATACACTTTCAAATGTCTTCTAGATTTTGTCTCTGTACAAGTCATTTTCTGTGTAGGTATACACAGTAAATTTATACTCATATCCTAATTTTTTATACAGTTTGCATTTCAAATAAACCTTTTAAGGAACTTTAATAGACTACAAAAAACATAGTGTTTTGAGAGTACAAGTGCCAGACACTCAATTTGAGTTAATCTGTGCAAAAGCAAACAAACAAAAAAGAAGGACAGCAGCTGGGATTCAGGGAGAACAAGAGCCACAGACTGAAGCAGTCTCGAGATTTTCTATCTTGTGCCTCTGCCCTTATCTGTGGGCCTACTTCCATATGCTCTCACCAAGCAGATCAGTTTTCTTCGCATACTAGAAAATATGATTATAACAGGTCTGTTTTACATTTTATAACACCAGGCACAGGAAAGAGCCTAGTGGGTTTTTTGTTTGTTTTTTTTGTTTTTTTTTTTTTTTTTTTAGAGATTTTTGCTATAGGGTACATGCACTCACCAGAGAGACAGAGAGAAAGCAAGAAATCACCCCGCAGCGGGGATGGCCATGCCACAATTCCTTCTCCTTCATTCTCCTCTTGGGATTTTGGGCACACATGCACACGTGCCCAGCGTGAGATTTAAGCCACAAAGCCCAGGACTTGAACCACAGCTGACTACATGGGAGTCCAGTGACGTAACCATTACACCACCTGCTGGTCCCAAGCCTAGCCTTTTTAACACTCCCTACAACACCAAGTTCTCCAAATCCTTATAAGAGACTCATTGACTCAGGTTAGGTGAGCATAACTAACCTGAGCATAACTCAGGTTAGTTATGGAACAATTAACAATGTCCAAGAGCCCAGAGTTATATCTAAGCACTGTAGTTTCCACTATACCAAATAAAAGAAGAAAGAAGGGCATTTTCTGGAAGAAGAAATAGATAGACAGGTTTTCCTTATTAATTTAATTGTGGATTTCCATATATCAGATTATATTTAATACATCAAATGTTCAAAAGTCAGTTCCACTTGAAAACAAATCAGAATAAAAGAATAAAGCACCTCTGAAACTATTAGTTAAGTCAGTGGCTTTTGCTTCACCCTGTGTCTGCTGCAGCACTGCTTCAATGTGTAGCTTTATACAACTCTACTTCAGACATCATCCACTTCCTAATGTCATAATGTTCTCCCGGTCTGACTCTTCCACTGAGAAGGTGAGATTTTCGCTTTTTCAGAGTCTTGCATCTTCCTTAACCAGTCTTCTGTCAGTCATTCTCAATCCTCCTAACTCTTATAGAATCGAGGGACAATTTTTGACTACCCTCTTCTCTGATGTAAGTGAGATATAACAAGACGATGTTGGATCAGGAATTCACACCTTCTTCTCCACCATACCAAGGCTGTCCTTCTCTGATTATAAAGCAGCTTCCTTTGCTAAGAAAAAGACTCTGCTTAGGGACCACCAGTTGGCATAATGGCTCTGTCAACCATAGTTCGAGTCCCGGACCTGGTGGCTTAAACTCATGCTGGGTGCATGTGCGTTCAGGCCCAAGATCCTGAGAGGAGAACGGAGGGGAAGGGATTGCAGCATGACCATCCACCCTGGGGAGTGATTTCTCTCTTTCTGTCTCTCTGTCTCTGTCTTTCTGGCGAGCACACACGCCCTATAATAAAAACCTCTCCAAAAAAAAAAGAAG